TATGTGCTGAGGATAGAACCCAGTGCCTCACCTATGCTAGGCAAGCGCTCTACCACTCCAGCTCCCCCAGATCCTGGTTTCGAAGCCTTGCTTTAGTCAGCTTTCATGACACTGTGACCAATATACCTGACAAAAACAACCTAAAAGTAGGGAAAGTTTATTAGACACTCATAGTTTCAGAGGTTTCAGTCCAAAGTGGTCATTCCAGTGCTCTAGGTCCAAGATGAGGCACCATAAATAATATGGGAACAGGGCCCAGTGAAGGAATGCTGCTCAGATTAAGGAGAGGTCATGAAGCAGGGAGAGAGGGGAGAAGGGGCCACAGGGAAGATACAGCTTCCAGGGCACACCTGAGAGACCCATCTTCTCCAGCCATGCCCCACAAGCCTACAGTTACCACCCAGTTAGTCCATTCAAACTAAGATAGACTGAGAAGGTTGCACCCTTCACAATCCAATCATTTCACCTCTGAACATTCCTGCATTAACATAGGTGCTTTGGAGGACATCTCATATCCATACCATAACCACCATTTCTATTAAAAGAAACTAAGGTTCTTTGGAAACACAGTTGATACTAGGATTATGGCAGAGGGAAGATAAGATAAACATATAACTGCTTGTTACAGCAGAAAGTAATGAAGTTCTCAAAAATAAAGTTGGGGTCATGTCATAAGCATGCAGGGGCCAGCTTGAGAGGGGCTCCTACTAGCCAAATCTGGGACAATTTCAGCATTAAAATAATTAAAATGGTCCTTCTCCCATTTTGTATGTTGTATTTGCTTATCCCAACAGCATCAGTACTTTTATTCATTTGTTCAGACAATAAGGGATTATAAACATTGAGAAAAACTGAAATTCGTGAGTCCATGATGACAACAGATTAATGAGAATAAGGCAACAAAGAATGTCAACTGCTTTATTTTATAATATTTAACATTAAAAAGTTTTTTAAAGATGTATTTTTGGAACCCAGAAAAATAACACGTTAAAAGCTGCTGAGAAAACAGAGGCTTTAGAATAGCGTAAGTGTGACTCAGTGAAGAATTGACCTTAATTAGTATCTCCTTCTATTTAAAATCAGTTCAGACACTCCGAAATATACTGCTTTGGAGTAGGGGATTCTTACACAACAAAGATTTACAGCCTTTGCTTTCATTGACTATAATCTTAATTTGTTTTAAAAAATGTTATTGGGTTAGTAAAATCAGATCCTCAAATATATCCACTACATTATTCAATGTCTTACATAAAGCTTTATGGACACATCCCTCTTAGAATGTGAAGTCAGAATTTTTTTCTCCTAAAGGACATGCATACTTTATCAGAAAATTGAATTAAGTGCTTGTGAGGTAATACACGTTACTTAGCTTGAGTTAGCCATTTTACAATGTGTATATATCTATATCTGTATCTAATATATTTCAAAACAACATGTTGTACAAAATAAACACAATTTTTCAATTAAAAATAAGTTAATTTTTTAAAAAATGATAATAAGAGCTAAATAATTCATCAATTTTCTTTGTTGCCAAGGCTGTCAGAAAATTTATCTCTTTTCTATATGGTTGTTTTGATCTAATTTATCTTGTACTTAATCTCACAAGGGTATATGTTTTCTTTGAAAAATACCTCAAGTTCTTCAAGATAGAAGAGGGACTGCAGGTTAAAATTAAAAACTAATTATCTTAATAATATGATACAACACTAATGTAAAATAATAGAGCCTCTTAATAGCAGTACTACAAATATAGCAATTGAATTCATTTGTGGTTAAAAAAAGAAGCTTTAGTCAACTCAAATATACAACCATTTAGAATGATTGCTTTTTAATAAGTAAGACAAAAGCAAAATGTTGGAAGCAATATTTACAAACAAAATTATCTTTCCACATCCAAGCTACTGCTTGGGAATCTCAAAACTATATTTCAGATAATTAGAATTGAACTTCCCTTTACAGTATGAGACCCTTTAAATTAATAAAATTCTAATTCTAATTCTCACAACAAAATATGCAAAAGAGAAGACAGTTTTGTTTAATGACTTTTTCTTGATAAATACTATAATGATGATCTTGAGAAATAATAACAGAAGCTACTTCAACTGCAGGCTTACCACAAGGTAGGCACTGTAGTGCAGCTGTCTATCTCTGATCAAAATTACCATCTCTAAGAGTTTCAAAAAGCACTGTGTTCTATTAACATTTCTAATTTGTTTCCACATTGGCAAAATTTATTCTCAAAACCTTACAACAGGGAAGTTCAATAAAAGTCTTCAAAGACTTTTCTGTAAGTCTGAAGTTACTTCAAAATAAAGTTAAAAAGTTCTCACTCAGAACCATTTTATTTTTATTTCAAATTGATACTTTAAAAACTGAAAGTCCTCACATGGAACTATGGCTACCTGTGAGTGAGGAGTATGATATTCCACCTTATGGATCTGGAGAAACAATTACTGAAGTTATATTCTTTGTACTTGATTCAAGTTCTAAAAAGCTTAACAAATAAAAATATGAAGCTAAAATTAATAGTAAATGATCCATATGATATAACAATTCAGATAGGTTTAAATAGGTCTTGTTCAAACAGCAGAAATGTGAATATGCATGTCCAAATGCTAAAAACAAAGGAAATGCCAAGGCATGACCGCATGCTAATTCAAAACAACTTTATGGACAAATCATCTACAGAAACACCTTAATTTTAACTGGTTTGTGTTGTTTTAAAATTTTGACCATTCTATTTATTTCCATTTTGTATCACTAAGTAGTTATGGTTAAAACACACACACTCCTCAAGGTGTTACATATTTAACTTGTTTCCAATATGTGAAATAAGCATTGCTTTTGGTTCTTCCTCCAAAAAAGGGGCACTATTATTTGTTCTGATATTTTCTCTAGTGTCATTCTCTGCTTCAGAGATGACAATAAACCACAGAGGATGAATTTACACTCAAAATAAGACAAAAACTGAAATTATGCTTAGTAATATCTCCTCTTTAGTTGGAATCTACCTGAGAGTTCTATTTTACAGTAAAATGTGTGCTATCACCTTGACTCCATCCATCATCATCAACCTAGATCCCTCTCTCTTTACCATCAACCTTGATCCTTATAAGAACATTTTTAAAAATATTTTTTTAGACATTGATGAACTTTTAATTTTATTCATTTATTTATATGTGGTGCTGAGGATAGCACCCAGTGCCTCACACATGCTAGGCAAGTGCTCTACCACTGAGCCACAACCCCAGCCCCTTGTAAGAATTTTTACTGGTTTCTCATGTATCCTTTCAGATTTATTATGCAGTTCTTTATTAAAATAAAGAGGGTTGCAACTACTTCACAAATTGTTGTGCTTTCCTTTGTACCATTTATCTCAATTCAACGAGACCTAAATAATGTCTGTCTACCCTTTCTCAAGCTCATGCTGTCTCTGATTCCTGTGGCAAGGCTTCGAGTAGTTCCACAGGAAAAGCAAAAAGATCAGTGAGCAAAGAAACACCAAAACTAGCAGTCACACAGACAGGAGCTAACACACATCAATCAATCCTTCACCTCACCAGCAATACTAAGGCAAAAAAAGAACTAGTCTTTTCTAAATACCAAGCATGGTACCTAATACATCTATTTTACTATAGCTCCTTTTACAAAATATAGAGGATATTTTGTCTTTTGAGGGAGGGGGCAGGGACAGTAAAAGAATTCTTTGTCAATCACACTTTGTGACAGAATGATGCATAATCACAATGTCACCTCAGGACTTAACTGGAAGCTTGGTACTCAGGTGCTTATTTTTATTATGGTTTGGAAATAAAAACTATAAGTACTAAGTAAATGATACAAGCAAGCGTCAGAAAAATGTAGCAGACAGAGTACATTTCACTTGGAACTATCAGGAGAGACATTAAGGCTGAACTAGGCAAGGTTGGTTTCAGGGAGCAGAGAATGGGGTAAGACAAGGAAAGAGCGAAGAGTCAACTTAAGGGGTTTTATACTTTAAAATATCTACGCAGGGAATGGCAAACTACAGCTAGTGGTCCAAATCCAATCCACTGCTTATTTTATTTGGTTTAAAGGTACATCAACATTTAAAATTTTTTTTTTAATTCTTTTTTTTAATGTTTTAAATAGTTAAAAAAATCAAAAGACATTTCATGACACATGAAATTTAAGATATTCATATATGAATTTTACGGCTACACAGCCATGCCATACATTCGCATGATGTCTGTGATCTACATGGCAGAGCTGGGAACTGCAACAGAGACCTCAACTCACAAAGCCTAAAATATTTACTATTGGCATTTCAGAGAAAAAATTTGTCAATCTCTTCCCTTAGGACAGCCTATTTATCTCAAATATTATAAGTGTGGGGCTGGGAAGAGGATGGTGAGAAAGAACAAAATAAGAGACTCATAGGTGGAAGTAAGGATTTTAGTCCACATCCTAGAAGTAGTGGGGAAGTCATTAAATAAAGAGTTTTAAGGAAAATGACAACTAGATTTGTATTTTGAAAAGATCATTCTGGCTGTTATACTGGGAGCTAGAGTATTAAAAGATAAATAAGAAAACTAGTGTAGTAAATAGTTCAAGCAAGATAAGAACTTAATTTGTGGGAGCAAAATTATTTCTGAACCCAGAAGGGTTCAAAGTCTGGCTATGCAACTTGCCAGGTTATTTCAATTCTCACAATTCTCACATTCATTATGTTACAACAGTTTTAGGTAGAGAAAGCTAAAAATATTCCAAAGTATGTACATCTAAAAAGTTTGGGAATATTACAGAATAAGTGCTCCCTTAGAATACTTTCTAAAATGTTTTATTCTTGTTATACGCTAGAAAAGACTTTTACTAAATTTACAATTAAAGAATTTACAAGTAAACAATACAACATAAATTAACAAAAACAAAAAAGGGAATATATACAAATGCTGCTTACGTACATTTTTCAGAGCCCTTTTTTTTCCCATAGTGTAGTAGTAACAAAACAAAGAACGTACCTGCTACATTCTAACAACGTAACTTTAAGACGTCCTTCAACAAGTGCCCACTGGTGTATATGGATATACTCTTCATCTTCTTCAGATTCTTGCAAGGTCTGATATGGAAAAAACGGCTTGAACCTGACAAAAGTAAAAATAAGTCTAAATTTCTAAATAACACATCACTCTAAAGTTCAAAGCACAATAACAAAACATACACATACTTTAGAAAACAATACAAAACACCTAATACTGCATGTACAAAACAAAAGCTTATTGTATTTGCCCATAAATGGCAACAACTGGTGGCACTTTTTTTTTTTTTTTTTGGTACTAGGGATTGAACCCAGAGATACTTTTATCACTGAGCTACATCCCCTGCCCTTTTCATTTATTTTGTGACAGGTCAGCCTAAGTTGCTGAGGCTGGCCTTGAATTTTCAATCCTCTGGTCTCAGCCTCCCCAGTCACTGGAATTACAGGTGTGTGCCACCATGTCCATAAAATGGTACCTTCTTTATAGCACGCAGGAATTCTCACTTTTTGGTCTGCTCTCAATAAAAAGGCAGGACTCATCACTAAAAAGGAAACTCCAGAAGGAGCCAGTAGGTTTAGGTGGGGCAGGAGATTCTTTGGATCAGATAGGAAAAGTATTCCTATAGCAGAAGTTCAAAATTCAGAATGTACTGTTTATGAAAATAATGAGATAGAAATTAGTACATGATAATGATAATTTCAGTAAAAATTAATAGCAAGGTATTCACCAGAGTAACAAGGTAACAAGTAACCTGAATAGTAGCTGTTTCATATGCATTATTTTACTTAATGCTCACAAACTAAGTGGTGATATTGCTTGCTCTTTTCTGCAGATGAAGAGTGAGTCTTCATCTGAGTGAAGCATTTGTTCAATTTTACACAGTGAGTGGCAAAACCAGAATTCAAGCTAGTCTGACTCCACCAAAACCCAAACTATCTCACAATTTTGTCACCCATGAATTATTTGGGCTATGTGTTCATTGTTAACCCTTATTTTTAATGGAGATACTTATGCTGAATTATATAAACTGTAGGCTTTAAAAAAACTTTTAATCTGAAATAGAACTCATACTCCCCCATTATAGCAAAGGACAAAGAAAATGAGAGAAAACTGGGCTTGAGGCTCTGTAGTTTTCAATTCACCCTAAACACTATCACTAACCATGGCATTTGCTTGTTCAGAAAGTTTTCATGGCTTCCCACTGACCACAAAAGAACAGCAAGAAAAGAGCTAGGTGTGGTGGTGTACACTAGTAAGCCTGTAGTCCCAGCTATTCAGGAGGCTGAGGCAGGAGTCATAAGAGTTCACAACCATCCTGGGCAACAAAACACTATCCTGTTTCAAAAGAGAGAGTCCTAAGTCACTAGTTCCACATTCAAGATCCACCACAATTTTTCTAATCATATATTTACTTAAAATAAATCTTTCAATCTAGGAAATTACATTCTATAGTTCAAAAACATTACATATTCCTGCTTTCAGGTCTTCTGTACCCACTGAAGGTTTTCCTTAGTACTCAAGGATCGTCCAGCTCCTAAGCTCTTTCCATACTCAGTTTCAGATTCTAGATCACAGCAGTCCCATCCACTGGTTTCAATTCTGTTTATCTTGCAGTCATTTAAATGGCCTAGTCTCACAATTCTCTGCACAAGTCACATACCTGACAAGGCTCCTCATACACTTAAGGCTTTAGTATGTGCTGAGTTAATTATAAAAATCCAACACTAAAAATGAAATAAAACACTTGGAAAGTATTAGTAGCCCACTATAGTTTATACCAGAAAAATACTGAAGAGGGGAAGTATCACCATCTATCTGAGGTGGCGACCTACGGTGGGTTCACAAAATCTGATTATTTCAATAACTTAAGGAAACGGCCAAGAAACCATGCAAACACACAGAAGTACCTTTTCAAAATCCAGGGATGGCTCTGTAACCTTAGGGGTCAGTGGAAAGAGAGAGCCATTGGAATTCTTTTTTCTTATATAGGGAACACACAAGGGGAGGTTCCATGGAACATTCTATCCCAAAAAGGGCAAAGGGGTAGGATTACCAAGGAATAGGTGAGTGTAACTCAACCCCACCGGGTGACGCCCACTGCTGGAACCACACCTTCCTAATCCAAGCAGAAGTAAAGCCCAATGTATTGTGGGGTACAATAACTGCTCAGCACCCCTTTACTCAGGACTTACAGGTGTGCACAAAGCTTCTGTCCAGAGCAGCTCCCAAATGGGAAGGGTACTGTTTTATGTCTTCCTAGTAAACAGGACTAAAGAAAAAAAAAACTTTTTAAGAAAACAGAATTAGACACACAGACAATGCTTAGTGCTTTCTCCTTTATCTGAACTAGTATGGCAAACAGAAGCCCCTTCTTTTCTCCCAGCTACTACACTAATTTGCATTTGAAGTAATTTGATTCAGACAGACTGGCACCAAAGTTTTAAAGGGAAAAATATAGAAACCAAATTAATTATATTAACACAATGCTGTAATTGCTTTTAACACAAACTTTATAGCTCCTAAAGAGCATATAACCTTGTTACTCTGTAAAAAAAATTACAAATATCACTACATACACTAGCAATTTCAAATGTAGTAATCCAAGCTATTTAGCTAAAATAAAAACTGCTTTTAGAAAACTTTTCTTGTCAAGTATAAAGTTAAAATTCAATAAAAAATTTCTCACAGGGGTGTGAATTGAATGTTATATGGAATAAAGTCTAATTTGGTTAAGTAATACCTAGAGGGTTTAACTAAGAGTGTTTATGCACAAAAATATATTAAAATCAGAAAAACAAAATAAAAATAAAATAAAATCAGAAACATATTCCTTTTAAAATGAATATACTAAGCTGGGATGCAGCTCAGTGGTAGAGCACTTGCCTAGTATGTGTGAGGACCAGGCTTCAATGCCCAGTGCAGCCAAGAAAAACAACAGAATCCACACGAATGTTTTATAAAAACACTTGGTTTTCAAAACATTTAAGTCCAAGCCTTTTAAAATATCTCAAAACCATAAGGAGTCCAAATAATTATGCAGACTTCCTGTTTCCCTTCCTTTTATCTTCCTGTCCTACCGAATTATCTTTCCTTAGTTTATCTCCTGTTAGTAAAAAAATGTCCATTTTCTCGCTCAAGTTCCCAGGAAACGAGCCTTCTTTACCAAGCTACCTGAACTCCTCCTACAGAAACTTAGGAATTTAACCTAGGAAAATTTATTTTCAGGGTAATAGCATGAGGAACTATGCTGATGGGCTCCCCAGTGAAACTGGTGAAAACTATTTTAAAACAAAATACTTAACAGTCTTTGTAAGTGGTCCTAAGGGCAACAGCAAATGACGGAACTCTATTCAAGACAACGTGAAACATTTGTTAAGAAAGCCAAGTCTGTGGTATTTGAACCAAGACTACTCCCCTACCCTGCAAACTCAGGGAGGCAGAGGCTAAACTCCAGCTCTCAGTCGGAGGGCTTTCTTGAAGAATAAGACACCAGTATCTCTCATTTGCCTCCAGCTACCTGTTCCTGGACAAGTGTGGTCAAAGGATGGGGCATCCCATAATGAGACCCTGATCATCTTTGTCCTGGCTCTTGAAGCAGTTGTTCCACAGTGGGAAAGGCAAGCCAAAAAGCTTGGCTGCCCTTCCCATTCCAATGATCACCAGTTAGAGTGGGGGTGTCACCCAAAGGGAAGCTTGCCATTGTTTCTGCCCCTAGTTCTAGTGCCTTGGCTCAGATATTTTGCTGGGGGAGAAGGAGAGACAGAAACAGGTCAGATCATAAAACAGGTATCTCCAATCTCTTCCTAATAAAATAACTTTGTTTACCATACACTAAGAATTTCAAACCCATGTGGACTATCAAGTACAATGGCGACTGCAGCAAAAGGCAATGGGAGAGACTTATGGATTTAAGGAAGAGACAGCACACACTGCAGGCTGCAGAGTTTGCAGAACAGACCAGAATATGAAACAGCTGGCAGAAGCTTTCCTGGGGTGAGAACAAATATCAAACACTGACCTCAGAAACTTCCTGAAGGAGCCAAAATTTGACTGGATTAACAAAGGAGATATTATGATAATGTCACAATCAGTAAAGAGTCTCAATAAAGAGGAATTACTTTAAGAAAAACAAAATAGATATTCTAGAATTGAAAAGTATAACTGAACCGGGCATGGAGGTGCATGCCTTAATCCCAGAGGCTCAGGAGGCGGAGTCAGAAGGATCTCAAGTTCAAAGCCAGCCTTAGCAACTTAGTGAAGCCCTAATTAACTCAATGAGACTTTGTCTCTAAATAAAATATAAAAAAGTGGCTCAGTGGTTAAGTGTCCCTGAGTTCAATCCCTGGTACCAAAATGAAAGAGAAAAATAGTATAACTGAAAATTAAAAATTCACCTGAAGGATTTCCAACAGTAGATTTGAAGTGTCAGAAGAAAGAATTACTAAATTTGAAAAAAGAAGCCATGGGTGGGGGGAATAAAGAAAAATGTACTGAACTTTAGGGAAATGTGTGATACCATTAAGCACATCTACAACCACAGAATGGTAATACCAGAAAGAGACAGGAGAACAAAATATTCCAAGAAATAAAGAGAGATAGTCAGTAGGTCCTGAGCTCCATTCATATTAAAATCTGAGAATAGTAAAATTTATAGAGTGATTGTTTAAGATTGGGGATATGTAAGAGATTAGGAGGGTAAAAGCTAAGGGTTAGGAGTTTTCTTTCTGAGATGTTAAAAATGCTCTAAAATTGACTATTATGATGGTTGCACATATATTTGAATATGCTAAAATCCAGTGAAGTTGCAATTTTTAAATAGGTGAATTGTATGGAATATGAACTATATTTCAATGAAGTTATTAAAAAATAATTACTCTTATTTCTGCTTTGATATATGTTTGGTTAGAATTATTTGATTAAATAATAAAACCATACATGACAAAGCTCTACTTAAAATACATTAGAGCCCCAATTAAATATTATGAAAAACAAACATTTGTTGAATCCCTACCATACCGGGTGCTGACTGTAAAACACTTTATATTTATTTTAAAACTTAATCCTTAACAATGATCCCCAAACTAGGGATATACACAGTACATAAA